AGTGCTAGTGATGCTGGTCAGCGCAGCCACCACTAGCACCCGGGGGGAGGCTCCATCTATTGGTGGGGAGCATCACCTGCTGGAAAACGGGTCCAGCGTCCCTTTACAGAAACACTTCACAGAGTTGCAACCGACTGTTCCAGATACAGCAAAAGCGAAACTTGCGAGTTGTTGAGGGTGGGGACCTCTTCACCCAGCAACTAGGCACCAGATATCTACTGCTGAAGAGCTAGTCTCCACCTCCTTTTTAACTGGGAACTTCAGAATCCACACCATACCATGACCTATCCACTAGACAGTTGGATGGGGGGGGCAAGAAGTCCAGGAAATGTTCCAGGGGTTTCAGCGGGATCAAGGCGTCCACATGGGTCCACTCGTGAAAATGCAGGGAGTAGTCTCTTATGATCTCCATCCCTGGGTGACCCTCCCCAGAAGCTGCACATTCCGTGTGTTCTCCCTTCCATTCCACCTTTCCTATCCGCCCTCCCTCTGCATCCCCAAGCCAGTTTGTACTGAAGTCCCGGATTTTTTGTCTTATGTCGCTTTGCTTATGGAGAAGTTGAAGTCATGCCTTTACTTCGTTCCATTTTGCCATTATTTCTGTCTGGATTTGTTGTTGAACGCTCTCAGTGAATTCGGGGCCTTCCAATCGCGCCCCCTCCATTTCGAACGTGCAACGTCTCCGCCAGAGTGCCCAGAGGATTGCCCGATGGCCCATCCGAAGCATATTCATGGTGAACTCGTCTGATTGCTCTGTCAGTCCCTTGGGCCAGGTTTCGCACAGCAAGGCCTTCCAGTCCCAGGGCCATTGAACGTTTGTCCCCAGTCGGTCCCACACTCGGTCCCACCATCTCCACAACCAAAGTGCCCCGGGACATTGGAGGAATATATGTTCAATTGTCTCAGGCCTTTTCTGGGACGGGAACGCATTCGTGCAGAGTTTGCACCATGGGAGGGCCCGTCCTTGTTGTTCCAGGGACGTTCTATCGATGAGCCAGTTGTTGGTTGGAAGGCAGCGGTGCTCTAACTGCCATTGAAGCGATGCCAGTTTGGCTGGCTTTTCTTTAACTGTGCTGAACCAGCGGACTGGTCGCAGCTCGCGTCTACTGACATTGAGATGGTTTTGCCAGCGTTCCCCCACCTGGTCACGCAATGCCGCCTTCGGTCTCAGGAGCCTGTAGGTAGATTTGACAGTCAAGGCATATAGGGTTTTTGTAAATTTCTTGCCTTGCCTACCCTGGGTTGACCATGACCACTCTATCGGATCCAAAGCCAGGTGTTGCAGGGGGATGTCAGGAAGGTAAGCTATCCATTGCCATCTTCGTTTAGCACGCGGACTCTGTGGACCTCATCTGTTTGACATGTTAAATTTGCATCAGCGACTGGTATTTGGATGACGGTTGATTAGGGTTGATCGCTGCTCATCTCTCAATTGACTGTTGGTGAACATGTTTATCTTTGTTGGTGAGAATATGTGCGATATGGCATCTATTCATATCATTTGAATAGAGATATGATTCATCAGCAGAAGGTCAATCCTTCTCCTGCATGGGGAAGTAATCAATGCCTCTGCTCTCCTTGGAATCAACAACATATACAGATTGGCTGTGCACCTCATAGCATAGTGATGCTGGAATTGGTTTCCAGCTCACATACATACATCAATTCAGAGGTTTTGGATTCTTTGCTGTGTTAGGGATCGATTGCTGGTTTGCTTGATAGATTTGGGCTTGTTGCCCGATTGCTATGTGATATGTTAGGTTAGGGGATTGGGTTCTCCCTTCAGGGCATATGTTTTAGCGATGTAAGAATATAGATAGATTGGACGTTGGCACATATGGAAGGATCTACATATACAGGACGCTGGACCTGATTTCCAGCTCACACACATAACCTCATTGTATTGGGACGCTGGACCCGATTTCCAGTCCACACACACACATCACATAATTGTACAGGGACGCTGGACCCGATTTCCAGCAGGTGCAGCTACCCACCAATAGATGGAGCCTTCAACGCTGGGTGCCTACTTACCGGGGATGCTCTTATCACCTCGATAAGTAGGTTATTTTTTTTGGATTAAAAAAAAAATAAAAAATTCAAAAAAAATAAAAAGTTAAAAAAGGAGCACTGGCTGGATGCAGGGACGCCTTTATTGGCAATGGCTCTGATCTATTCGTGGGGAACAGCACGCGGTGGGAGTTGGCCCCAATGTCCCTCTTACAGTCACAATGATCAATTACAGAGAGAAGATTGGGCACAGTCCCAAATGGACCACAAAGGGCGCCTATTTCCTATGTCTAGTGCCGGTTGAGGGGAGGGGGGTTAGCCCCCTGTAGCACCACTGTGTCCCTTCCATGGTGTTGCCTGGCTCCTGTTTCCACAGAGTACCTTGGTATGCCTGGCTTTTGGCCTTTCGTCCTGCTGTCCGATGTCTCAGTCCCTGTCGAATGGCCCTCCTCTGTTATCGATGACTGCCACATCTTGCCTGTCCTACCTCTGTGTCTTCCACTCAGGGCAATCACCCCTATACCTTTTCTTGGTGGGATGACCTGGTTGCAGGCCTGGTCTATTGGTGGGGAGCTCCACCTGCTGGAAACCAGGAAGCATCAATTGCCCTCGTTATCTAGG